CCCGCCCCATCTCTCTTTGTGGAGACCCGTAAATGCAGTTCTAACGAGTGATTGATTATCATGTCGTGCCTTACCTGAAAGGTAGCTGGTGGGTTGGATGAGGCACTCCCCAAGTATGCACTGCCGTGTGAGGGTGGGATGGGGCTCTTCCTACATCCCCACTGTGAAACTTAGGCTGAAAGGGGAGATTCTGCACTCCCTGTCCTTTAGTATCTTTACTGTGGTTCACCAGGAAACTTTGTCACACGTTGGAGTTAATGCTTCTTGCCACTTATAATCTGGAGCTATTCAGAAACAGTTGTCAAAAGATGCCTTACATGTGAATAATGCACTTTGTAGAAGTGAACAAGTTAATGAGTTATGTTTATTACCTTCTCCACTGTTTACAGATTGCACTTGCCACTCTAAAGGTGCGTTGGAGAACATTCTGTGATGAAAGTTTTACTTTATCAGCTAATTTATTTAACACTTAAGAGAATGTATGCAAACATTGTATTTCAAGTTTGTGTAGTGAAGTGTATTGAGCGTCCAGAACACCAACATAAGATTCTAAACCACCCTATGAAATTTGACATGTTGATTCTGCATACAAGAAGTCCTCTAGCAACTTCATTTGCTTCATTCCTTGAGTGATAAATTCAATCTGTAAGCTGTTAGCAGTTGTTCAGTAAAAACAATATTGTTTTATAAACAAAACCTATGTAAATTAAATAATTTATTCTTCTTTTCAGATCTACCTGGACTGCAGTGTACACAGTACATTGAAGGACTGCAGAGGGAAGCACAACAAGCTCTAAATGAACACATCAGACTCATTCACAGAGGTGATGAAGCCAGATTTGCCAAGCTGAATGTTGTTCTATCCTTGCTAAGATCTATTAATGCTAATGTGATTGCTGAATTATTCTTTAGGCCCATCATTGGGGCAGTGAACATGGATGACATGCTTTTGGAAATGCTTTGTGCAAAATTATAAAGGCGTGTAAAATAATGAAAATAAGTCCATTGAGAAGGAAGCCCTAGAGCAGAATAGTGTAAAGTACTGTAAATAAACTAACTTATTGTTTTTACATAGATAGTATTTTTGTATTCCATAATAAAATATTCTTCAAGTTCTGGAATTATTTTTTATTAAGCACTGTGGTTTTGGAATAAGATTACAGTCATCAAAACAAGCTTTAAATTTGTGGAGAATGTTCATATGCAAAGTTGACTGGCTTTTCTTGTACCATGTCTCTGAATAAAGGTCATACTTACTATATTGTACTTTCAAGGTGAGTAATCCCTGCTCAGCAGTTTAGGTTTACATTTTAAATGTGGTTGACATACAGAAAGGGGGAATGAACAAGCCATTTACTTTGCATATTTCAGTTACACTGGAAGAGCCACTGTTCTACTCCTAGTTCAAATACTGGCTCTATCAAAGTCTTTCTGCAGACACTGAACTACTTTAAAGAATATTAAAGAAATTATTCCCCTAAGGTTTTCTTCCATAAGGAGAAGATGTGTTAGGAATATTTTGAGGCTTAAAGTAGCTTGGTCATCTCTGATACTTACAGTAAAACATTCCATTCAACACATGTTGGGCTCCAGGTGAACAAAGTAACTCTATTCCCCAAAACAATGAAAAAAAAGAAAAACAGCTCTAAAAATATGTAAACAGCAAATGCTGAATAGGGTCAGGAGAAGTACTGGTGTGGACTCCACACTTGCTTTACATCCAGGTAATTCCTAGCTGGGATTTCCATAGCCAGATTCTTCAGACTACTTTTTCCAATAGAAATACAAAATTACTGCTGAGACATGGTATACCACTGGCACATCCAGCAGAATTTGTTCAGCTAGCATGAATATTATTCAGCATCAAGCTTCTACATTTATTTACTTTTTTGTCTTGGGCTTGATCCATTCTCCCAACACAGTTGTGGTTTTGCTGAAAAAACTCTTTTAAACATAAAATCAGAAAGCAAAAATCAGTGATTTAAGGGGTATTTTTTTCATGATTTTCCTTTCTCTGCATGCAGTTTTCTAGCCTTTCCCTGGGGAATATTGTTAAAGAAAGGAGAAAGTGTGGAAGTGTTCCCAAAGTAACAGGTATTGGTAACTCTAAGTGTAATTTACATATATATAAACCACAAGCAGTAAGAGGTGTTTTTTGAAACACTATAAAGTTGAAGCAGTTACTTTCCTTAATAGCAGACGTACTGGGGAGAGAGATATGAGTCTGAAGATCTTTCTTTTGCTGCCACCTTGCACAAAGGATAATCACAGGTCCTACACTCAGGTAGGGGGGCTGGAGGGGCTGTTGCTTTCTTGTGCCTACCCAGGTAGAAGTTACAGAAAATGGTAGCCAAACATTCCTAGAGGGACAAGTTCATCCATAAGTTCTATCACTGAGGTTTGTATTGCTGTGGCAATAAAAACCTCGTCATGCACTGGGATACCATCACAGAACAAACGAAACAAATCAAGAAATGCACCCCCCATCCTGAAAAGCAATGCTGCAGCCCAAATGCACACTCTTCTGGTGCTCATGTAACCCTGGATAAGGTCATGTGCTCTGAACAGCTCCCCAGAAATTCCAAAGAACACAAAGCATGTAAGCAAAGTGCTCTTCACTACCAGTCCATGCTTCAGACCCACTCAGATATAGAGCAAGCTTAGTCTTTATGTTATGTTGATGCTCTCATATGCACAACATATAACAAGTATAAACATACACGTATATAAACATATACATACGGAGAATATTTACTGTGTATGTATAAATGTTCTGTGAGTTTACAGTAACTTCTGAGCTTATCTAAGATCTCTGTAACACAAATATATGTTTCCCTCCTTCACTGTAAACAGCATATGAGCTTACAACAGTTAGATTTCAAGGGTGCCTGACAAAGAAATCTCTGTTCACAAAAGCACAAAGATGATGATAAAACATTTAAATGGTGGTTAGTGGCATAAGATGAATCTTGATAAGGACTCAAAAAATTCAACAGCCTCAGACTAAACCAACTTCATCGACACTGAGAATTTGTTAATACACATGCTACTGTTCAGACTTTTCTGCTGGGTGGCAGAAAAGACTTGTTGGCAGCACTCCTAACAATTAGCTGTAGTAGCCGAACCATGGTCACAGGCAAGGATTTTCAGCTGAACAATCACCTTGAGACTGTTTAGATCTATTGTGCCACTAAAATACAAACATTTTCATCACTCGGGTGGACCTGCTTACATCTCCAGATTTGATATCTGAACAAATACTGTATTCTGCTCAATTTTCTGAAGTTGTCATGAAAAATATTGCTTCCGTGCACAACAAATCCACCTTGAACTCACTATAACCTATTTCTCTTGGGCTAGCAATACTGTTAGTCATATAGCTGTTGTCTATTCAGATAGAAACACCTGGAAACAATAAGTAGGAAATCTGAAAGGAAAAACCAATTTATCAGGGCTTTCTGCAGAGAACTGGCAAAAAGAAATATCTCTTCATAGGTCAGATGAACAGGAATGACAAAACAAGAAATTAAAAAAAGACTTGTAGGAGAAGCCAAATTGAAGATGAGAACCACGCAGGAATGGGAGAGAAGAGACTTGGTATGGTTCTAGAACAGTGGGGAAGGGGGACAATGTGCCAAGAGCTGACTAGAAGCAGCTGGAAAGAGGTTGTAACTTAAAAGACAAGTCAGAGCTTGAGCAAAAGGGTGCCTGTGGGATGACTCTGTGTCAAGTCCAGGAAACACTGCAGAGCAGGGTAGAACCTACCCCAGAAGCTGACACAGAGGAGGACACAGGCATCCTCACCAACCTGCTGGGACTGGGTCTGTTCTCTTCTCCATTGGTGCCACTGCTGAAGAAGAGGCAACAGTGGCAGCTATGCAGGCATGAAGAGCAAGCTGCTCAGCCTTTGTGAGCACGTTTCTCGCAGAATTTGGCAGAAAAGACTGCTGCCCTAGACTTTGGACCCTGGGTGCTCTACAGCACATCATTTTTACTGGGTAGGAGTAGTACTGGGCTAGATCCTTTTCTGCCCCAACTCTGTCCTGTGCAGGGTGGGTGAACTCTGAATTGGACAACTTACATGGCCGTGGCCACTGCTGTGACACAAGAAGTGATCTCTCTGGATGTTCCTGGCACCAGGGATCCTGCTGGAGGCCTCAGGCAGGCAGGGGAGAAGAGAAGGCTGGGCACACAGGAGTAGGATGCTTCCATGTTAATGTAACCTTTAGCAGAAGGAGTGGGGGAGCTTCAGGTGCCTGAAGGGATAGTGGTCAAGATCTCTGTCAGCTATCTGGGACTCCTGTGGAGGTAAAAACCTGCCTCCTCTGCCTTCTGGTAAGCAGTGCTGTGCTGTGCTGTGAGCTCTGTGTGTATGATTTCTCTTCATGCTCTTAAAGGTACTGGGTATTAACATGACATCTGAGGATTTTTAAGCATTACTCTGTTCGCTTGTTATCCCTGACATTCTGGGAATTAATCTACTCATGAGCATGGTTTTTTTTCAGCCCCCTGGGATGTTAGAAGAATTCTAAGTAAAAGCAGCCTCCCAGGCAATTTAACTCTGCAATCCCCACAGTGTCTGCCTCAGATAGAAGCAGTGCTGTGGGAAAACCCATTCCCACCCACCTCAGCGTAGATGCCCATTTCTTGTGGTCAGTACTGTGACACGAGCAGTCCAGTCACTGGCTTCTAATCACAAAGCGTCATTTGGCAGAGGTTACTGCTGCACAATATCCTTTTCTCTGAGGAGATCTGAGAAAGGATAATTTAGAAATCAACCTGTATTTTTACTTTATATGGTTATGAGTGTTTCTTTTAGATAAGGAAAAGCATGACATTTATTCATAATCTTACTTTTCCAAGTTTAGTATATAACCTTTGTTTTGGTCGTCTTTCAAACAGTTTGCTTTAAACTTTGCATATTTTGCTGTTGTGGGTAGGCTATGAATGCTGTAAATGCCTAATAAGCAGTAGCTTTGCTCCCAGAGGTGTGGTTCTCGAATTTTCTTGTTTTGAACTGGCCTCATATACTGGCTTGAATCCATTATACTGTCAGTCATTTTCATTTCTTTTCAAAGGCAGAACTTATTCCTCTTGTGGACCTTCTACACATTGCAATATATGGCAAAAAATAAAATTTCAAAAGCCAGTTGGTAATCTGTTTTTCTTTTTACTGAAAAGAAATCCATAATAGTGTAAGCAAATACTGTATCAAGTCATTTTGAAATCTGGAGATGCAGCTTGAGATTGGCACCCCTATATTGCCTTAGCATTCAATATTTATTTTAAATTAGGGAAGTCTACTATTTTAAATCCGGAATGTACACAAGTAAGTTTCAATAGCTGAAACAACTAGAGACTGGCAGAGGAACTTTAACAAAAATGTCAAATCAGCAAGTACTGTGAGGGCACAAGGCTAAAACTTGTTAGCTGGCACTGTATGCAAATCCACATATCCTTTACATTGTTGATAAAAATCAGTAGCCATTTCACTCTTATGCCAGTGGTGAAATTGGCCCAGCTTCTTTTAGATATTCATACTGTGCCTAGGCAAATAACCACACAAGTGTTTATACAGGCACACATGATCTACAGACACCTTTTCTTCTGTGTGTACTTACGCTATTTACTGATTTTATAGAAGGAAAATTACACTAGTTTCAGGTTCAGAAAAAGTAACTTGTCCTTTCATTTTATATAACCACGCACTGTTTTGAACTTCACCTCGCTTAAACTGAGCTGTCTGAAAATTTGACATCTGGTCTAGACGGGGCATTAAGGCTTTGCCTGGAGTGGATGGAGAGGCAAAAAGACCTCCAGGTGGCATTTGATCCCAGCATACCAATTTTAGGGTGCAGTCATTGATTCTTACTTTGCAGAACAAGGCTAGATTCAGGTTATACACTGAGCTGTCAGTCACTACAGTTCAGCAAAGTGAAACTTGGAGTCTTTGGAGTCACCCTTACTTCTGGCAAA